CCTCAACTCGTCGAGTAGGGCCATTAATCCACGATTCTTCATCTTCAAATCGCCGAGTTGGCTCCTCTAACTTACCGAGTTCAACTAGAAATTAGCATAATTCCACAATTAACTTTCTAGATTCCGGGTGTTACACCCGGAGAGTATAAGTTTAGAGTTTAATGGATTAAGGTTTGAATCCATTAGGATGTCTAAACCCATAAACCACAACGTGGCGAATAGGCTACCATGACGTGGGGATTGAGGAATTCACAACTGTTTTGTCGGTTGGTCTCCATGTCATGGCTAAGGATTGGCCATGACGTGCCGACCATCTAGAATTGACTTTGACTATTGACTTTGACCATTGACTTTATGACTTGGTTGACTTTTGGCCAATTGGCTAGTTTTAGAAGGTGAACTAAAGGTTTACCTTGTATGGTTTATTAAGAGGTGTATAACACCCGATTCATTGATTGTGAGTGATGTTAGTTGTTGACTACGTCTACGAAGTGAGTCTTTTCACTATACTATGCAGGTTTCTAGATTGTCATTGTGAATCTTGCCTGGTTGGATCATAATGTTCACATAAGGTTGACATGGGCCCATTGATATGTATGGTATGTGGTATTTTTGGAAACTCACTAAACTTTATGCTTACAGTTTTGTGGTTTAAATATTTCAAATATTTCAAGTTCTAAAGGGAACCGCCCAACTTAACTGCACAACATCCTATGATGGCTTTTTTCGCATTTATTATTACCCTTTTATTCTGATGCTTGAAAGATGCATTTGACTATGATTGGTTTTGAACAAATGATTGTCTGGTTTTGATGGTTTGAAAATGAAATTTTGTATTAGTATTTTAGGGATGTTACAGGTGAAAGTTGAAATCAAGAGCTTTAAGATTGGGGGATGAATTTCAATTTATGGAAGTTCAGATTTGGAGACTTGGGAGATGAATTTCAAATTATGGAAGCTAAGGTATGATCTTTGAACTGGTATCAATATTGATGTAGTAACAATTAGAGTTTGGATCTTAATTGTTTAAATAAAGACTTTCTTGGGTTAAAGTGAAAAAGTTAATATGTTAAAAATGCTAGTTGTGTGTAAAGTCAAAACCAATACTAAAATTAGTAAGTTAATGGGCTAACCATGTCTAAAGGTGGAATGTTACAACTAAAGCATCCAAACCCCTACATTCACTTCATTTTTCAAATATGGAACCAAATCCCTCCATTCACTTCATTTTCAAACATGGATATATAGAGAGTAGGAAGATCTAACTTTTTAGAGATTTTTATAAAATTAGCATCAACATTAAAGTGTATCTAGTGAATCTAGGTCAAAACCTTCAAAAAGAAGTATGTGAGGTAGCTTATTAAACTATCATTTGTCATTTAAGCTTCGATGTCTAGAAACCTCTCTTAAATTTGAATTGTATTATAAACCTAGTGTTAAATGCAAAAACTATTGTATAATTCCATGTTTCCATTATTAATGTATAAGTACAAGTTCGTCTATAAGGCTGAGATCGATCTTTTGAAGCTAAAATGGAGTTTTTTTTTTTTTTTTTTCCAAATCATTAGTTGACATGTTATTGAATTTATCTAGTGAGATTTAATTCTATTTATTGATTTCGATTCATATTGAATCTTATAAAGTCTAAATCATGATTTTAACACCTTCAAATATATGAAATAATGATTTAACAAGTTTTGATAAATTTTTGTCAAGTGAAAATTAACCAAATCTTCAATAAATGAATCATTTAATGATTAAAGGATATAAATAATGTTAAAATATACTTTGGAGTTAGGTCTCCATCTTAATTGCAATGGAGAAGTGAAAACCAAATCTAGTGGTCATGTCTACAGTTTTGAAGTCCTGTTTTTGGAAAGTATGGTTATCATCGTCTACAAATTACTAATGTTAATGATGTTGATTGCTACATCATTTGATGTTTGTACAAAATTTTGAATTTCGTTAATCTATTATAGATCGTTGAAGTCCAACTCTTAGTTTATTCAGATTAATAAAATAATAAATTTAGCAAAAAACACTAAATAGGACCTATTTGCATTTAGCTATGCAAGGCCTTGTAGAAGGCTCTGTAAGACATTGTAGAAGTGTCAAAAAGAGTCCGTGAGGAGTGTAATCAGGTGTAGGCATATAAGGACTTACATATTAGTTTATAAGGCCTTGTAAATCTCGTTGCAAGACCTTGTAGATGTTTGTAAGGCCATGGAGACCCAACTTTGGATATCTAGCTTGTTAGTTTAATTGAAGCTAACTAATAACTGTCATTTGTTTGATTATGCATGTTCATATATAATACTTCAACACTTACAGTAACTTGTTAAAAATATAAAATATACACTCAGTGTGAGTTCATTACCTAAGAAAATATGTCCCGTAAATAATATGTATTTTATTTATCTTATGGCATGAATAACACGTGTGAAATCTTATATGTAATATGTGTTGCTTTTATAGAATAATATATGTAATATGTGTCACATTGTCTCTCGATGTTATTGTTGCACACTCTTAGTTTTTAAATCTATTGCAATTTTGAATGTTTGTGACATTATTTGAAAATTGTTTTCTTAAAATGATTTTTTGTCTTATAAAACACTTACACTTTCGTCTTAAAGGACTATTTCAAATAGTTTATATAAGATGTGTTTCAATCGAGTATACAACTATGAATTCCCTTAATATTTGAGTTTTTCTTTGTTGGTATCCTAAACCCTAAGTCTTTGATATGAAGTCCGAATAATCAAATTTTAATGTTTGAATAAAGAAATATGTGAGTCTTGTTTATGCTATAATATTAGTTGTTATAATTTTAGTGAGTAGCAAATTACTTAATTTACATTCTAATTCATTTAAAATACTTTCAACTTAAATAGACACATAACATAAAATTGCATTCAACTTCATGCCAAATATTGGTCTATTCGTTAAAATTTGAGAAATACTAAATACAAAACACAATATACAAATCCATTAAACAAAACCAATTAATAGGTAAAATCAATCAATTAATTGGTTAAACCCTACAACGAGAAACCAATTAAAGAGATTGACATATCAAAGCTAATTAAACCAAATAAGTTAATTAAACCTAATAAAGAAAAATTAATAAATGACGAGTTACTATTAATTTTTTTAACAATAATATATACATGTGATCTCATATATATATATATATATATATATATATATATATAAAGAGAGAGAGAGAGATAGAGAAAGAAAGAGATCATTATTCCTTATTTTACACTCCCCGTATGTGATTTTCAAGTCTATCATCGTCAACATATATGGATAAGAATGGTTTGTATTTCCTACATAATATTATTTAACATACTTTTGTTTTTAACAACCCATCTATGGATAAAACAATATGGGCTATTGGATAAATTATTTGATATGAGACTTGTAATGAGAACATCCATGTATGAAGTCTGATTGAAATTCATGTTAGCTTGCAGGCGAGGTGTCTGAAGTTAGATTAGTTATCCTGTTAAATAGTTAATGAATAGATCATGGATACAACACTACTGTAGAAGTAAACCAAAAGGACATGATAATGTGATAGGGTATCGTTCGATTAGATATCTTTTATCATTTTCCTTGGCTCGGGTGGATAATCGATAGAACGACGTTAAATTGACTATTATTATTATTATTATTATTATTATTATTATTATTATGTAACTAACTATATTATATAAAACACATGCTATTGACAAGAAGCGAAAAACGCATGTTTAGGGTTTTCGTTCAATTAGTATTTCCTCTCTGCATTATTAAAACTTCAAATTCACAAGATAAGAAAAACGTATGATATTGACATACACAAGTAATACCAAATGAATGAAGACACTTATGTGATCATATCTTTTTTTGAACTACAATTCATACATTCTAAACTACTTATACTCCACACCTTTTGCCCTAACGAGACAAAATGTTTAGGGTTTTTGTCTATGTCGTGTATACAATGTAAAACACAAATAAGACATTGCATGGAAAAAAAGTATACTTATCACATATTTTATAGACTAAACGAAAGAAATAACAATGTAAGTGCATACCAAAAAACTTGTGATATGATGATATAAAGCGTTAAGGAAAGGTGACCATCAACAATATTCTGAGGATTTAAGGAGAACTTGGTACAAAATATGTATATTTATGAGTAATACAGTGAGTGTGAGTTAGTTATTAAGAAAAACAATATTATAATGTTTTACTATATTTTATGTTTTTAGAAACATATTTTCTATATAAAATTGTGTGTCCCAAAATACTATTATGGAATATTTATCTCTTAAATGGATTAAGTAACGATATGATATTATTATGTAACGTTTTCAAGCAAAATATTTGATGTGGATATCAGTAATTTTTACAATTAAAGTGTATGTCCTACTGTATTTTTCGAATAGACAAGTAATAAATTCTAATTGTCTCGTATTCATGCGAGATTTAGAATCTTAATTTCTTTTTAAAAAAATTTGAACGACAAACACACGCACACTATTTAATCCATTTTAAACAATATTTTTGTTTACGACAGAACTTGAACATAATTGAAACTTTCATCAATACCTGATAATGCTTAACTACAAGCTCTTTGGTCAATTCCTTCTACTTGTTTGTTCTAAAAGACATTCAGACAATAGTTGTCTGAATTTTCATCATCCCAAATATACGCTGAAATGGTAAAGAAATTATTATCTAAATGCGGGTCGGATCTATTGACCCAAAAAGAAAAAGGATTCACGAATGGCACCTACTCTACTGCTAGTCTACTAGTATAAAGAGGCGCACTTTAGAACTACTGAGTCACCAATCACTATATTATCTCATTTTTTATTAGCTGTCACTACTATCCCCCACCTACAGCCACCCCCCACCACCATCGCAACCACCGCTGCCTACCATACCTCACCGCAATTCACAGAAATTCGCCTTCTGAAAGCCCTGATTTTGATCAGCTCCACCTTATGGCTACCGATACTCCCTCTCCACATCCTACTGCATCACATGAAGAAGAAGATAACATCAACCAGCAACCGCCTACTCAGCAGGAGTTGGTTCTGTCACCGCGGTCACCAATTGAAGACGTGGATCAGCACCAGCAATCTGAAAACTCAAATTCACCTTATTCGCCGCGGACGTCCGTCGCAAAATCGGAAAAGCCTGTCGACCGCGAACATCCACCACCTGAAGACGTCGAAGATGAACATGAACAGGAACCGGTTCCGACTTCACCTCCACCGCAAGACAAAATGCTCGGCCGTCATCAGCCTTCGCCACCACCGTCGCCTTCCTCCTTCTTACAACCGTCACCACCACCGCCACCTCCACCGCCACCCACAGAACCTGAATATCCACCGGAAAACCTTAGCCCTGGCCATGAATCTCCTATTTCAAAGCAATCACCATCACCACCAAAGCGAGATGAAGACCCCGTGCAAAGCCCTAATTATCGTGAAACCCCTTACCCAAACCCTAACCCTAACTCGGATCATGAATCTCCGTCTCCGTCTTCACCAGCAACACTCCAAGGAAACCCTAGCCCTAAACCACACGAATCGCCTAAAGACCCCTCTCCGTCGCCACCACCGACCGCCGCATCACCATCATCACCACCACTCCTCCAAGCGGTTGCCAGCTCTTCACCGACTAAACAACAAATCTTACCCTGGACCCACCAGGAAACTGCAAACCTGATCCAAGCTTACCAAGAAAAATGGTACTCTTTAAAAAAGGGACCCCTTAAGGCCAGCCAATGGGAAGAAGTCGCCATCACGGTGGCTGCACGCTGTGACTACGACGAGCCCACCAAAACCGCCAAACAGTGCCGCCACAAAATAGAAAAGCTTCGTAAGCGTTACCGTTCAGAGAGGGGCAAACCTAGGTCCAAAGCCGCCGCTTGGAATTTCTTCAAACTCATGGACAACCTGGAAAAAGGACCTTTACCAATTTCATCATCACTGCCCTCTATGGAATTAGTCGAGTACCAGAAACCAAGCAACTCTAATGGCAAAAAGAGGAAGAACAACGATGATGGTGACAGTGAATTTCTGGTTAACAAAAGAAGCAGGTCTAATATTTCTTCTAATCATCATATCTCCAATGACAGAGATGCTCGGTTTTCAGATGGTGGACCTGATAGGGTTATGAGAGGGTTGAGGACTCCAGTTGCTCACAAACATAAAGGTTTTTATCAGGAGGAAGAAGAAGACGATAGTAATGAAGAAGATGAAGGCAATGAAGAAGGGGTAGCAGCACAATTGGCGGCTGAAATAAAGGGGTTTGCTGAAAAGTTTGTAAAAATAGAGAACAAGAAGATTGAGATGATAAAAGATGTTGAGAGGTACAGATTGGAGATGGAGAATAAGAGAATGGAAATGATACTTGAATCACAACAGATGCTTGTAGAGACTGTAAACAAAGCTTTTGGTGGATCTCATAAACCACACAAGCTTTCTGCAAATTAACAACAGTTGAAGGTCTCAAGAATCAAGGTTCAAGCCTTCCTTGTGTGGTCAATAATTTTATTTATGTTTTTATCTTTGAATAACAACTTAGATTGTTGCAGATTTGTAGGTTTAGAAACAACTTTCGGGTCTTATTTGTATCTATTTATTAAGGTGAGAAAGATTCGAAGAAGTGATATTGTGGTAGAGGAAATGGTATAAATGGATATAACATTCCAACTTTAAATATACAGTCCAGAACTTGCATGTTGGTATAATTTTATATCTTTACCTCTTTTACTCTTTATTTGGGGTTTGTGTCATGATTCAACAATCAAGTATTTCTGTATGTGTTACTTAAGTTAAATTTTAATGTTTGTGAAGCTAACTGATTCTAATATTTGTTCAAAATATACCATTATGATTTGCACACTTGTTACCCCTTACCATTATATTTTGCTTATCTAGTCGTTTTTCTCATATTATTGTATGTGATGATAACAAATTCCAATGTTTATTCAAAATATATTGTTATGATATGTTAACATGCGAAATGGTTGATGGCTAAAATCATGAGATAGACCATAAGTAGTAATCCGTAAACTATGTTATATTATATCATAATGGGTCGGTTTGAACAAACATTAGATTTATTTATTTATTTAATTTTAGAACGATAAATATATTTTTAAAGACTATCTAGAACTCTACACAAAGTTTCCTCCCGCGATATGAGTTACTACTACGTGATCTTTTATCGGGAAATGATTTATTAGGGTAATTAACTGTTGCCTTTGTATTCAATTGGTCGCTTTCCTTTTTTTTTGTATCTCATTTACCATTAAATTTGTTGTAGGTATTCACAAAAACCATTGAAACCAGCTATTGAAGGTTTCCAACAATTTCTTATCTCCGACGACTCTCCGGTCGTCTTCTCCGGCGAGCCTCCGGCAAAAATGAGATTTTCGACGGATCCTTGGGTCTCGGCTTGATGACTTATAGCAGCAACAAGCAGCATGAGGTGGTAATGGTGGTTTACCGGCAGCAAAAGGGAGGTGGCAGGTGGGTTCTGGTGATGGCAGGTGGAGGTGGCAGGTGGCTTGCTGCCTGCGTCCCTTCTACCTTTTTCTGGCATCAAATTGATAGGAGGGAGACTGGGAGAGAGGGGAAGGTGGAGAAAGCTAAGAAGCAACACCGATGGTGGATGCCGCTTGGATGACAGTGGAGAAAAGTCCGCCGGAAAAACTCATTTTTGCCGGAGGCTCGTCGGAGAAGACGATCGGAGAGTCGCTGGAGATAAGAATTTGTCGGAAACCTTCAATAGCCGGTTTCAATGGTTTCTGTATACAACAAGTTCAATGGTAAATGAGATAAAAAAAAAAAAAAAAAAAAAAAAAAAACAAAAATAAGTGGCCAATTAAGTACAAGGGCAATAGTTAATTACCCTAATAAGTGATTTCCCATCTCTTATCTGACTACATTTTCGAATTGAAATGAAAGTTAAAAAAAGAGAAATTACAATGTAATACAAGTGATGGTTGGATTTTTCTACCAATTCAAAAACCCTTTTTAATACCTATTCGATTCATAAAAATGAATACTCAACGATCTCATCAAACAACCTATATTTTCTCCGTTTCACCTTTCCAAAAATGAAAGAAGTTATGAATCTCCACATCTCCCAACAAGTAATCACATCACCACAACATCAAAAGTTTTTCTTTGCAACACAAATAAACTCAAAGTATCCGCTCATACAATCAAGGACTCGGCGTATACGCCTTGATTTAGTATCTAGTTTATATTTTGGTTCTTTCTATTTTTTAATGGGTGAAGACATTAACAATGCCATGCCCACCATCTCACGATATGGGAACAAAAACCCCAAAAAAGAAAAGTAACCACAATAAACACGGTAAAAAGACTCTACTTCCTCTATACAAATCGAAAAAAAAATAAAATCCAAATCTAAGTCTTTACGACCAAGTCTCTCTCTAGTTGGAATGCACTACAAACTAATTATCCACATCAAAATATGGGAATATTATTATTATTTCATCTTGTAGCCATCGAATCTCCTAACAACATATTGGTATCTAAAAGTCTCCTAACAGAAGCAACAGAAGAAAAAAAAAAGTCTGTGTTCATGGAATCCAAGAGCCAGCCCCACCTATACCTCAAGACCAAACTCCATGAACAAACATCAAAATTAGTTATTCTCTTACACTAAAATGAAAATAAAAATTACTAAATAAGTACATAACAAAATAGTTTGTTGCTAAATCATGACACTTACCTATTTCATGTATATTGGTATTTAGTTGTAAGAAAAATGCAAAAGGTATACAAGAAATATAATTGTGAAAATATCTTTTAAAACCTTAAATGAACCTATTATCAAGTATGGTAATTAACTTATATTTTATATGCATTAATAATAGTTACAAATAAGTAATGATTTACCTCCTTTTAATATTTTAATTATTAAAAGTAACATTCCATGTTTATTTTGTCGTTTTTTTTAAAAGCGATGTAATATGAAATTAATATTTAAAATGAAGGAAAAATTAAATCAACTACCTATAAATGGCGGTCGTATTATTTCATACGGATACAAAAATCCATGAAAAAAAACGTTCAAAAATTACATCGGATGCAATTAGAAACTGGTTTATATGGAACCGATTTGGTTTGGGGTTGACTTGACATTTGAACCTTTAAAAATGGTTTGCAAAACCATATTGAAACCTTCAAAAAGTCAATTTTGATTTAAAAAAAAAATCCTTTCCATCGACCATTTATTCTACTTTTTGTTGATACAAGATTTTGGAGGTTTCTCAAGACCATTTTGACCTCGTGATCGATCTCGGGCGTCCAAGATTCATATTAAATTATTATGCGTAAAAAATGTTTCAAACCCCTAAACGATATTGAATGGTCGAAAGCCACCTTATCAAAGCTATGGGTTTTGCTTATTGGGCAATTTCCGACAACAATGGAAATTTCATTAAATTCTAACGCCGAAATCAAGTTCCGCAATATGCAACAAAAATAGGAAGAGTTTAGTTTGTCAAACCACTTTTGAACTGATTTTATACCAATCATACATTTAAACCTCGAAGTGGTTCAAAACTGAACACCATATTCGAGAAAAAACTGAATCAATGTTCAAAATAGTCCTATTAAATTTGAAAATTGGATTTATACACATGTACATGTGGATAAACCTTGTACCTCAATATAAGACTTGAAAGCGGAGACAAATTTATTTTATTTTGGACACATCTCTTTATAAAGTATAGTTGATACTCTTAGTGTTGGTTTTTAGGTAAATCTATAAATCAATCCATAGTAAAAAGCCGGTAATACTACGTTTTTTGTACTAACAAATATCTACTATAATAAATGAAAGTTTTTTTGCCACATGTCCTCTTCTCCTTCATTTGGACACTTGGCATTTTCTAAAAATTTTAAATTTTCTATTTTCCACTTGTCATTTTATTGTATATTTCATTTTATTAAATTAAAATTTCACATTTAATGTGTAAGTTAATATATATGTAAAGTATTTATTAGAAAGGGTTTATATATATAATGTATTTAATATATTAAAGTTTCAATAATTTTAACAATTTAAATTTTTTCTCATTTTTCTTATAAATTCAAATTTCTCAAATTGTTAAAATTTCATATTTAATTTTTTTTTTAAATAAACCCATGTAATACATGGATCTTACATCTAGTTTTTATATTATTTGATTAAAAAAATTATGATTTGAATCAATGTTGCTAAAATCAAGACCTCTATCATAAAATCTTATATCCAACAAACAAAACACGAAACGGTCTCAATAAGATTAGTTTTGGAGCAAGATCGAACCTAATAGTGTAGGATCACACATATGACAGGAAGATTCTACTTGAGATGTTCTTCCCAGTTAATTATGTAGTTAATGTCTTTGACTATATACTACATACAAGGTCATGACTCTCGATGCATTTGAAGTTTGTGTATTAGCTGTTAATCTTTACTATTGTTTTAAATATTTTCTATCAACTTAAAACACGGATAAATAAAAAATACTTTTCATGTTTTAAACTTTTGGTTCAGTTTGTGGTGGAACATGTCTTTAACTGCATGATGCTTCTGTGGTTAGATTTGAATTTTATGTATTGGCCTTTTTTTTTGAACGCTTCTGTATTTGATTTAATCTTTACTAATGGTTAAACTTTTTTTTTTTTATAACTTGTGAATAGATAAATGAAGCAAGTCTTTAACTTGTGCCAATTTCAAACTGGAGGAATCTTCAGATCCTACCAAATAGGAAAATGATTATAGAGAGGATCTCGATCTTTTAATATTAAAAGATGGTATTTGTTACTTTGGAAACGACTACAGAGAAGATCACGATCTGAACTTCCAATCCAATCATGATCTTACAAAATAGAAAACGATTCTAGAGAAGATCTCAATCTTTTCATCATATAACTTTGAGAAACCTCCATTTCTTTTTGTAAAAGGGGTCTTACAAAGAATCTAATGGAAACTTCGAGTTACAACATCGAAGTTCTTGAAGTAACAGAACCCGTAAACAGTAATCAACACCAATATCCATCAACGGATGATCTTAAACTCATTATATTACCAAATGCCTATCTTCCTCGAATCTTTAGCACACTCATTGTTTATCCGAGTCATATAGCATGCTAAGTCCCCTTGTTTTTCCTCACCAAATGCCATCTAGATAAAATGTTCTCCATAAATTATGTTTAATAACTTTTATAGAAAATTGATGACACTTAAAAATAACGGGAAGAATTACAAAAAAAAAAAAAAAAAAAAAAAAAAAAAAAAAAAAAAAAAAAACTAGAAATTAACAGGGAAAATCTCATTTCTCTAACTTTATATATATGAAGTCATCCTTTTCTGCATCAAGTAAAAAACGAAACACTCATATACAGCTTACCAGATTAAACCATTCTCCTATAGATTAGTTTATCTTTATCCAGAGCAATTAAATTAAAGGCTTGATTTAGCTATTAAAAAAAAAAAAAAAAAAAAAGAGAGGCTAATAATAATAAATCGGCAGGAACTTCACTTCACACATGCTGATTAAAGTGATGCAGCAATGAAGGTGATTATAATAACAACATTGAGCTCTCTAAGTATACACTAAATGAAGTATTAGTATTCACAAAATTCCCCCCAGGCTTTGGCCATTAACAATAACTACCCCACCGCCTATTACAAAAAAAAAAAAAAAAAAAAAAAAAAAAAAAAAAAAAGGTACTAATATGGGCTAATCCAAGGATCAGAAAAATAGTAAACAAAATGTTTTAAAAAGAGACATAGACAGAGACAGAGAGATGGAAGTCACAGCTGTACACGTACCTCATTATCCTCCTCCATCAACCCTCAACCCTAGTTCATGACTTCATCATTTTATACAAAAAACACCCAAGA